GGCGGAGAGGGGAGGGTCCGGACGTCCCGCGGGTACGACGGGGCGAGGCAGTGCCTGACGCCTCATCACTGGCCAGGGGACCTGGGCTCTTTGCCGGGGCAGCGCACTCGGGGAGGGTCTCCCCGGAACGCACCAGGGAGCCCGAGAGCTTTTGTATGGGAAAGAGGGCGCCCAAGGAATGCTATAGTTGTGTCCCTTCCTATTTTAGGGACTGAGTGCTGGACGAGCGCAGGCTGCGGTCGGGCTCTGTTAGAGGTGCGAGCGCCACAGAGATTTTTATTTCTCTTTAGAGGCGAGAGACTGGCCCCTCAAGGTCTTTAGGAAGATAAAGGGCCCCACGCTAAAATATATGGGATTTGTGTGTGTGTGTGTGTGTGTGTGTGTGTGTGTATGTATGGGAGGCTACATTATTACACACTGATACTTTACTTTTGGAGGTGTATTGCTCAGCGGAGGGTCAATACGGAGAGACTGAACCACCCTCTGGAAGGGCCAGTTCCATGTGCCACACTGGTGGCTATTTCTATGTGAAGAGTTGGGAAATGTTGACTTTCCACTTTCAAGTGCACGAGAATCACTAGATGTGCTTGTTAAAAACGCAGATTCTGTAGTCCCTTCTACGTTTTGACTAGTTCTGGAGTGGGGCCAATGAATCTGTGTTTTAATAAATAGATAAGTTAATTCTCTCACTCCCTTTTTCCTGAGAGATTTTTGCTATAGGGCGCGTGTGCTAGCTGGAGGGACAGAGTAAGACAGATAGAAAGCAAGAAATCACCCCCCAGGGGGATGGGCACACTCCAATCCATTCTCTAATTTCCTTTCTGGATTTTGGGCATGCATACCCAGGCGGTTGTCTTGAGTTTTAAGCCACTGGTTTCAGGATTCAAATTGTGGTCCACTGCGTGGGAGTCTTGCAACGTAATCATTACCAATCTGCTGGTCCTGATGAGTTAATTCTCATAATAGGTGTTGAGAGATCATTTTTTCTTTTCTTTCCTTTTCTTTCTTTCTTTCTTTCTTTCTTTCTTTCTTTCTTTCTTTCTTTCTTTCTTTCTTTCTTTCTTTCTTTCTTTCTTTCTTTCTTTGAGAGGTTTTTGCTATAAGGTGCATTTGCTCACCAGAAAGACAGACACAGAGAGACAGAAAGCAAAAAAATCACCCCCTGAGGGGGGATGGCCACATAGCAGTTCCTTCTCCTCCATTCCCTTCTCGGGATCTTGGGCACACATACATGCACGCGCACCTGGCATGAGTTTAAGCCACTGGGTCTGGGACTCAAACCATGGTTGATTACATGGGAGTCCAGTGACATAGCCATTATACCAACTGCTGGTCCCATAGAGATCTTTTTCTTGATGTAAGCATCTCAGAAGTAGGGGTGCAGCTTTTTTTTTTTTTTTTAAGAATAGTTTTAGATTTACAGAAAAGTTCAAAGACTAGAGAGTCCTCATATACCCATAGCCAGTTTCTTTTATTATCAGCACCCCACATTAGGATGGTGTATCTCTCACAACCAGTGTGGATAGCTTGTTACTAACTAAACTCCATAATTCATTCACATTTCCCTAGTTTTATCCAGTGCTGCTCCAGGATTCCACACTACATTGTGTTCCTAGGCTTCTCTTGGCTGTGACAGTTGGGATGAGCTCTTTTCATGTGGGCATTCCAAGCAAGTATGAGGGCACTTCCAGCTTTGCGTAAAACTGTGACTGGTCAAAGCTAGTCATT